CCGCCGATTATTATTTTGACGGTGGACTCTAGAAGGAACATGGGCGAGGAGGACGCCAGGCGGCTGCTGAGCGCGGAGCCGATACGGTCTCCTGAGCTGCTCTCACGACTCATGCCGCATAACACCGCAGCACGTCTTGCGGCAGCTCATGTGCCAAAGAAGCATTCGCCGGAGAAGGCCGCGTCACGATCGCCCACTAATCAGCCCGCCTCACGATCGCCCATTGAGAAGTCCGCGTCACGATCGCCCATTGAGAAGGTCGTGCCACGATCGCCCACTAATCAGTCAGCCTCACGATCGCCCATTGAGAAGTCCGCGTCACGATCGCCCATCGAGAAGACCGTGCCACGATCGCCCACTATTCAGCCCGCCTCACGATCGCCCATTGAGAAGACCGTGTCGCGATCGCCCATCGAGAAGACCGTGTCGCGGTCGCCCGTTGCGAAGGAGCTGCCATCGGAGCAAACGGCAAAGACAACAGCGCTAACGAAAGCAACCACGGCAAAGGAGTCTACACCGCAGGAAGCCAAGCAGCCCCGCGTGCCAATTCCGACAAGAAATTCTTTTCTGGGAGTGGATCCTGCGGCTCCGGTTGTTCCTGTTGTTATTGCCGACAAGCCGAAGACGGGGGAAAGCCCGGGGGTCCAGCGTCAGTCTGCTGCAGCCGCCACGCGACCATCACTGGGCAAATCTACTGAGATGTTGGAGGTACTAGTTTCCACCGGGGCGGGGGCAAAAAGGTCATCCTCGCCTCGCGACAGAAAAGCAGCTAGTTTTCCCCCGAGTCAACAAAGGAGAATCAAGAGCACCAACGGGTCCTCAAAGGTCACCGTTGTCTTTTCAGGAGAGCCAAAAACGAAGACGCAGTCGCAACCGGAGAGGCGTATTGGAGGTTTAGGCCACGGTCCGCTTGCTGTGACCGGGCAGGCGGCTACAGCCAATATGCGACGCCGGGCAAGTGCAGCGGCCACCCGCGTTACGACTTGGCGCCGTGACGAGCCCGCCCCTACGCTGGAGAAGGATGTGCTCCGTGGTACAAAGAGCAGGTCACCGCTGCACAGCTCGGAGGCGGGATCTACTGCGTCAAAGCCGCCCGCTTTGCAGCAACTTTCATGGAGACGGAAGAGCCTTTCCGTACTGACGCTGGCGGCTTCCCGCGAGCGTGATCCCTACTGTCCGTTGAACACTGATCGTCGGGTCCCGAATAAAGTCAGGGCTGTCAGACGCGGTCCCATTGGAGAACTTGAGTCGCCCAAGCAACTCGTTCCATTTTGTACGGAGTGTGGAAAACGACACCTTAGCGAGAAGGTCAAGTTCTGCGCCTTCTGCGGTCATAAGCGTGAATGTGTGCGCTGAGCTTGTTGGCATGGCTGTGGGGCGGGGCGGGTACGAGGAAAGAGTGTCTTGGTGGGTGTAGTAGTAAAAGAGCAATACATGCACACATACGTACACATTGTATATATACACATATACATCTACCACTGGCGCGTTTACCGCGGGTGGGTGAGAGTGTGGCTTGCCGCACCCCCCCGTCCCGTTCACGCCGTGGGTGGGCCCCAAGTTTCTGCTCTTCCGTGCATGCACACATGTAAAATATAGTTTGCCCGCCTTCCTTCCCCGCATCGGGTGCGAGGCCCAAGTTGCGGGTGCAGGGCGCCTGCCGTTAAGGATGACGAGGGAGGCGGTGGCGGAGTGTGCCGGGGATGCCCCGGCGGCGGAAGCGACGTGAAAGAGGGGGAGGTGGGGGGGGGGAAAGAAAACTCAGCGAGTGGCGGAAGCACCGCTCTGGATGGAAATTGAGATTCACCACTTCTCCTTCTCCCTCCTCATCCTCCTTTTTTTTGTTTTCCATCCCAGGAAGACAAAACGAAAGTGAAAAAAAAAACAAAAAAACACACAAATAAATGAAAATGCATGCAAAAAACAAACGCGACAACAGCGAGACGCGCACGCAAGTGCGGAGGAGGAGGAGGAGCAGCAGCTTGCGGGAGGAGAAGGGGCCTAGAAATGGCTGCTGTGATGCGAGGAAGCGGAATAAAGAAAATAAAAGAAAAGAAAATAAAAGAAAAAAGAATTAGCGGCAAGCGGCTTTCTCCCGTGAAGTGCTAAATGTGTTTGCAAACCATGCAGTTATATATATCTCATTTTGCTTTCTTTCTTTCTTTCGTTCTCCCGACCAGACGCACACTCGTCTTTGTGGTCGCTTTCTTGTCTCCCCATCCGAAAAAAAAAACAGAGGCCAACAGGCAGCGCTGACACAACGTCGCCCGCCCCGTTAGCCCCCCCGCCGCCACTGCTCTCTGGGCGGTGATGTTCCTTCCTTTTGCGTCTTCTTCTTTTCCCCCCCCTGCAGTGAAGAGAAGAGGGAGGCAGACGAAAGGGCCCCGGCAAGATTGTGGGCACATCGCACTGCGCCGTGGTGGCTGAGGAGACCGCCGTTGCGTATGCCAGCGGCGGGGACAAGAAAAGAAGGCAACACACGCACACGCAAAGGCGACGTGTAGCAGGGCAAAAGAAGCAAAACAAAGAGAAAAAAGGCGTCCACTGGACAGGCGGCGGAGGGAGCGGGCGTTGGGTGGGGGTGCAGGTGCGTCTGCCGCATTGCGTTCCCGGCGTTGGACGGCGTTTTGTTAGTTTTACTCTGCCCGCTGACTGGGCAACGCAACCCACGAAACCTCCCCCCCATTAAAAAGAAAACGAAAATAAAAAAAAAGGCGGACAACACACGCGCTGCAAAGAGGGGGAAAACTTCGCGTGGAAGTTGCACAGAGCAGGGGGTTTAGTGCCTGCCCTTCGCGTCGGGTGGGAAAAGCGGCGCAGCTGACGACGGCGATGCGGCGTGCACGCCCACTGAAGTTTTCTACTCGCCTCCGCGGCAGAGTTGTCTGGTGGCACCCGTTTGAGCGGCGCGGCGTCATTCGTTGCGAGGCGGACGGCAAGGAGTACAACATCCCAAGTACGCGCGCGTTTGAGACTATTTTGCCCACGCGACTGCGCCACTTGGAGGGCGCGACGGTCGAGTTTGAGGCCATCCGCGGCGCGCAAGACGTGGACCGCGTCATCACGCGCAGTCGCCTGGAGCCCATCACGACGACAAGTTACGCGCGACCGAGTCCGGTCGACTTTCTCGCCGGCTTTCGCCAGGAGCCGTGCCGTGAGGCGACGCCAGAGACAGCCGCAGCGCCAAGCGCCTCCGCCTCGCCTTCCTCATCGCCAGCCCCCTCTCCGCAGCTCTTCGCGGGAAAGATCACCGTCGACTTGAGCACAGTGACGCCACGGAAGGGCAATGACGATGGCGAGGGTGCGGAGGACGCACGCATCGGGACAGCAGAGGAAGAAGTGAGTGTGCGACCCCCACTGGGCGTAAAGGACCTTCGTAATCCCGTGGTGCTGGACGTGGACACAAGGGAACTGCTGCGCCTGCGGCACCAACTCGGCGACGACGCAAAAGCCCGCGAGGCACTGCAGCAACGGCGAACTGAGGCGGAGGCTGCGAAGGTGAAACAGCGGAAGGTACTGGCGACCCACCAGGCGGGTGTCGTGCTGGCGTGGTCCTCGCTGCATCGTAGTGGAGTGGTGCTGGCGAATGCCACGAAGCTCCCCGAGGGTGCCAAGGACGAGCGCGCGGAGGACATGTGCATCATTCGCAATGTCGATGCCTTTGACACAGCGCTTCCCACCGAGCTAAACTTGGTCGGTCGTGCCGTCAGCTTTGCAAAGGTGGTCTACGCCTCGCATCCCGTGAAGGTGTTTGCAGAAAACATCATTGTGAGTGGGAAGTTGCACTTTGATGCGTCGCAGGCCGCCGCGACGGAGACGCGAGCGAAGGAGGCAGCCGCCGCGGAGCACGCAAAACGTGCCAAGCAACTTGGCACCCTCTTTGAAGAGATTGACTACGATCATGAGCCGCTCCCCACCGCTCCCCTCTACGGTGTGGTGACCCGATGGAGTGGTGGGCAGGGCATAGTTGAGACGGGCAACAGGCGACTGTATTATATTCAGTCCGCGGCCGACTTTAAACAACTTATCGACCAAACCAGTAACACCATCCGAGGGGCTGTGGTGCGCTTTACCGTCGACAGAGAAACTCGTCGCAACGCACGGGCGGTGGACATTCTTTCCCTCGCCACCCGGGACCCCACCACCGTGGTGCCGATGCTGGAAAGACGAACGGGAGCCAATGCGACGCCGAGTGTTGCTGCACAAACTCCTGTCGTTGATGAAGCTGCTGCTGCTGCTGGTGGTGGCGGTGGTGGCAGTACTAGTAAACTCAGCGCGGCGGTGGGGGCGGCGGAGGAGCTTCCCGCCGATGCCGCCTGGGTGCAAGGAACACTGATTGCGTGGTCGCCGTTGGAGGACCAAGGCGTGATTGAGGGTGACGACGGCAACCGCTACCTTCTCCGCGACGGCGAGGAGGACGTGCGGGACTACAAGACGTGCAAGTCCCTCCTGAAGAAGGGCCGCCGTGTGAAGTTTCTCCCCTTTGGTGGCACGGGCCGCTTGGCGTGCCACGTCGTGCCCCTGGACGCCGAGGCAGACGCGGCGGCTCTTGCGGAGGCGGCGTTGCAGCCCAGCGAGCCGCGCGTGAGCGAGGGGCACGCGGAGGAGGCCATCGCCTCCCCCATGAGTACCGCGTACTGGATCAGTCGGATGGACCGCGCAGGGTACGACACCACAGAGGTGAAGCAGATGCAAGGCAAGGCAATCACCTTCGACGACGACGACGACGAGGACGACAAGCTGCTTGACACGGAGGACCTCTTCAAGAAGGATCACTGGTTCAATGACCCGCGGAAAAACATGCGCCTGCCGAACAGTGACATGACGGCTGGCAACCTCGCCCTCATCGGCCCGGCATCGATGATGAACATCGCGATGAAGGCCCACAACCCCCAGAAGCTGGAGAAGGTGAAGAACAAGTACTATAACCGACTCAGCGAGCCCATGAAGGAGTTTGCGTGGAAGCAGGCGAAGGAACTTGCCCCAAAGTATGAGAAACGTATCAAGGAGGCCCGTGAAAAGGGAGTTGAGCCCCGTTTTTCCTTTTATTGAGTTGAGTGCAAGAAAAAAAACATCAACAGCAACAACAACGAAAAAAAAAAGCAAACACAAAGTCAAAGAGTTGGGAAATGTAAAGTGCCGGTGAATTTCCCTTTTGCCCACTTCCTATTCCTCGCAATTCCTGTAATTCAATGAATTAATTCTTCGTCTTTCTGTCCTTCCATATATAAATATGCATGTATATATACACATGCAATGCACGTATTCACTTTCTTTCTCCCACTCTCTTGCTTCGGGCCACGGAGTAGTGGCTTCACCGTTGCTGTACGACTGACATGGTGTCCAAGACTAGGCGGCAGCGGCAACGGCGGAAGGCGGTGCTTGAGGCGAACGATGGGGTTCTACCCCCGGTGGTGCCGGCGGTGCCCAAGTCAGTGCATCTCAAGAACACCCGGCCCAAGATGAAGAGCAAAATGAAGATACGCCTCGGCCACGAAAGTCTCGTGGACATTTACGAGGGATTCGAGGATCGCAAAGGTGTTTTGTGGCACTGCCCAAAGTGCCAGAAGGAGTGCCGTGTGGTTGGCTTCTGCGTAGACTGTGCCACAGGCATCAAGTCAAAGACGCACACAGGGGTGCTAATGGCCCGTAACAGGACTGGAAAGAAGGCGGCAGTGAAGTTGGCGGTGAAGAAAACAAAGAAGCTGAAGCTTAAGAAAAAGAAGTGAATTACGTGCGTCTTTGTCCACTGAAGCGTAACCGCAGCGATTAATGGGTTTTTTGCCTGAGTGTGTCTATGTGTGCGTGGTGGCGGAAACGTCTCTTCCACGTCTCTTTATTTGTGTGGTGTTTGACACAAGGCATGCCTGCACTTGAGTGGGCTGCATCCCTGAGACATTGTACGACGAGGCCGCTGTAGATGTATTCATTTCATTTCTTTTTCTTTCTTTGTTGTTTTGCTTGGCAATTGTAAGCACCAGAGCGCCGTCGTCATCCTCGCGGCCGTCCCTGGCTGGAGGGACCGCAAGGGCAGCCGCTGCGTGGCGGTCATGGAGGGGATTTGGAAATCGCTGGTTGATGCCCATTTAGAGCTTTTGAACGCGACAGGGTGGGGCGCGCTGTTGGACGTGCTCAACGCTTCATGGAGCGAGGGCGGAGGCGGCGTGCTGCGCCTCATCTATCAACCGGTCAGCGAGTTCGTGGCGGCGGTGAACTGGTCCGAGCCCTTCTTCGCCTATCTCGCGCTGTTTCACCTGGCCGTCATTGTCCTGGTGCTGATGCTCACCTGGCGTGCGTCGGCGGAGCGCATATTTGTGGTGGATGTTCTTGTGCTTCTACTCGGCTGGTGCTCGTCACACCTCAACGAATTTGGCCGATCGCATGCTTCGGAGATCTTTCTGGAAAAAGGGGTGAACTACTTTGACCGCGAGGGGCTGTTTATTAGTGTCGTGTACTGGTGCCCGCTCTTCCTCCTCGCTCTGCTGCTGCAGGGACGTCTCCTCCTGCAGATGTTGAAGTTGATGATTGCGACGAAGCGGAAACAGCTGCGGAAAGAAATGAAGGAAAAGGCCGCCGCCGCCGCACGGGGAGGAGGAGCGACTACTCCTACTGCTGCTGCGGGAAGGAAATCTGTTAAAGCCACGAAGAAGAACTGACGCTTCTGTGTTTTGTGTGCGTGGAGTAATTGTTGTTGTCGTTGAGTTGTGCTGCTGTGTTTTTAGCGTCTTGCATACACGTACCGACGTGCATGTAAATGTGCCTGCCTGTCTACTCGTGTGTGGATGTGCCGGTGCGTTTCTCTTGGTGTATGCACGGCCCCGCTAAGGCCCGTAATCTCTCCCTTTCTTTTTTCTTTTTCTCTCTTTTCTGCGCGGCGGGGCTTTTCGACGTCGGCAGAGGCCTCGGGTAGCCATCGACTGATGGGATGAGCTCCTGGGTGTCCGCGGAACACTTCCTGCAGAGCAAATCGGCCTCGTATGTCCGACGCGGCCTTCTTCTCTTCATCTTCTACGGCGTTGCTAGCGACTACTACCTGATGCACTACTACCAGGCCTTCGACCCGGCCGAGGGGCGACGGTACGTGATCGACTGGAGCCCCATCGGGCGTCCACGGTGCCAGGTGCATGTGGTGCCGAGCAACCACTACCCGAACTACACGCCGTGGACGCCGAGGAACGGCGACGTCGTGCTCGCGCGCAGCGTGCCGAATGAACCAAACTGGCTGCAGCTCATTAGTGGACGCTTCATAGAGCAGCAAACCTGCGGGGTGCGTCTCGCGATTCCGCTTGAAGAGGTGCAGGAGCAGGAAAGACAGCGGCAAAAAGATGAGGCGGAGCTAAAAAATATATATAGCGACAGGAACAGTGCTGCGTGGTGTCAACTCTCCCGCGTTTCCCTCTCTCCCTCGCGGACTGCCTCCCCCCCCCCCACCCACCCACATTCTCGGCCCCTTTTGGGCAATTTCCAGCTGGGGAGGTGTAGCTCTTTTGTTATTATTATTTTTGGAAGTGGGGGTGGGGCATTATTGCGACGAGTGCCCCGCTGCCCCCTGCGCATCCTGCACGTACGCTCTCCGCTCACCCCGCTTCTTTCCCCCCCCCTTTCTCCTTGTCGTCGTGCTGTTGCATTACCTCGTCCCTGAAGCGAAGGAAGCTACGGGGAGAGAGAGGCCCCCGACTGCTTGTTTGCCTCCCCGCCGTCGTGGGCGACGAGCAAAGAGGTGGGAAGTGCGGGGTAGCAGCGGGATACCGTTCAAACTAAAAAAAAAAAGGTTCCTCCATGTCACTTCGGCGCTGTGCGTTCCGTCTCTGCCCTGCCTCCAGCGCCGCGGCGCCTGGGATGTCGCTCGCGCAGCCGGAGCGTGTGCCCAACGTCCTTTTCATGGAGCGGCGGGAGAAGATCCTTGCGGACCTTCGCGAGAACAGAAACGACAAGAGCCACGCGGGTCGGGTGGACCCGCTGGTGGCACCGTTGGTCCACCTTATCAACGATAAGTTTCGCTGCTACGTGACATCGAGCTCGTGCTCTGGGCGGGTCTCACTGTTTCACAGGGGACAGGTTTCGGCCGCTGTGGAGGGGCAGCGGGCCGAGCGTAAGCGCGGTGCCTTTGGTCAGGGCGCACTGTTTCAGACACATGACGCATTTTCTGACGTGGAGAGAGCAGTGGAGCAGCTGTTGGTGCCTGCTTTGGAGGGTTTCTCTGTCTGGCGCACGAAGCAGCATGAGGATGACCCGCTGATATATGAGACGGAACTATTACAACTCAAATTTGAGCCGATGATTGTGCATGTTTTGTGCGAGACCATGGACGACGCGGCGAGGCTGCTGCAGTGTGCGACCGAGAGTGGCCAAATGGAGAGCGGCGTGCTTTCGTGCTCGCGTGGAACTTCCGATGCTCGGAAGATTACTTGCTGCATCACGTCACCGTTGTGCGTGGACATTCCCTTGTTTGCCCAGGGCCGCTGGCTGCTGGGCCACGCACGCTTTTCTAGCCCGGAGTGGAAATTCCTGCTCACGAATACGCTTATTCACATAAACACACTATTTTCTGCAAACGAGGCGCGGCGTTCTCGATTTGCGGGCGAAGTGCAGAGGCGGCTTTTGTGTTGAGCACTAAATGCATGCAGTTTTCCCTTTTTTTTTGTTGCCGTGCCGTTGAGTCGTCTTGTCGCGCCCCAGGCGTCTCTGCGTGTGCGCGTGGTGCGCGTCTGAGGAGGAGCTGGACGTTGACGGCGTGCGTGAGAAGCCCAACGTGGCGCTGCTCTTTGGCGCGGTATTTGCCACTGCCCTGTTTGTTTTTTCCTCCGCGTTTCCCTTTTCTACCGCTGTCGTCGTTGTTATTCCCGCGCCTGCTGTTGCTTCGGGCCTCCGTTTTTTCTTTCCTTTTTTTTCCCCCATTTCTGCCCGGTAGCGGCGATGGAACTTCTTTCGTGGAAGCGGTACGACGACAAGTACGGGCTCTCGCAGGTCCTCACGGAGGCGGCGCGCTCTTGCGTCGATGCCCACACGGCGCGGCCGGAGGAGTATTTTGCCGCGTACTTCACAGAAAAGTGCTCCGGCGACGAGATTCGCGACATCGCCACGCACGCCGTGTATCTCCCCAGCGGCTCACTTGTGCTGCGGCTGACGCTGCGGCTCCTGAACGGGATGGGGGCGGAGTCCGCGGCGTTTGTGCGGCCCTCGCCGCTCGAGGATGACACCGGCGCGGACGAGACCGCCGACCCCACCACCTACACCGCAGAGTCGCTTCAAAAAAATTACTTCCCCCGTCTGCTTCAGTGCGGGGCATGCGACCAGGAGGGGTTTGACGCGACGCTGCGTCAAATTTGCGCCTCCGCGGAGGCGATGGATCTTGGGGTGAGTGTAATGTACGGCCTGAGTACCCTGGCGGCCTCTGCGGCCGCCCGCTGCTCCTCCCTGTCACTCTTCGCGTACTTGCGCCGCCACTTCGGCGCCTCGGAGGAGACTGAGAAGTTTGCCATGCCCCAGCTGTGCGTCAATTTTTTTGGTCCCGAAAACCCCTCGACGGCGCGGCTCGCGCTGAAGGATGTTCTTCTCATCCCAGCCATGCCGGAGGGCTCCATGCGGTCGGACGTTGTCCAAAAGATTTTTGCCGTCTTTCACCACTTCTGCCGAGCACACAACACCATGATGCGCTCTGACGGTTCTCTCGAATTCGACGACTTTGACAACTTGACGGACGTCGTGAGCCTGGCCGAGGAAGCCGTGCGTGCGGTGGGGCTCACGCCCGTGAATGATATATGCATCGGACTACGTTTTGCCGCCGCCGTTGTTTCCTCCTCGTCGTCGGGGCCCGCCGCGTCGAACGCGGCCGCATGGAAAGACAACAAGGCCGCGCCAGATGTGATGTACGCACTCTTCCCAGGCGACGTGGACGTGTCCGGGGCACAGGTCTCCGAGTACGTGCGGGAACAGTTGCAAGGCCGCACGGACTTTGTGGTTTACGTGGAGGACACGCACTGCGACAAGGATGCCGCCGGCTTGCGTCGCCTGCAGGCGTCCCTGGGCGAATCCCTGACCGTCTCTGGCCGTGACCTCTACGGGCGAAGCCAGTACAAGGCGCTGGAGGACGGGCTTCGTGGTCTGTGGACGTCAAACTTTGTTTTGGACCCGGGCGTTGTAGGGACTTTGTCCGACGTCGGTGAGGTTGTGCGCCGCGTGAAGGCGTGTGACGGGCGTCGCGTGAGTTTCGCGACGCAGGAGCTAGCGGGAAACGCGGCCATGATGGCACACCTATCGGTTGCCATGGATGCCCGCTTCCTGTGCATGGGCGGGCTCCTGAGCACCCCGCAGTGCGAGGTGCTGTCGCACCTCATGTCTGTTCAGTCTGAGTTGCTGCACTCAACCGCCCTCCGCCGCGAGGCGCCGAGGCTCGCCTGCATGGAGCTGCCAAATCCCCCCAACGACGTGGTGCCGGAGATTAAGCGCCGGATGGACAAGAAGAAGCGAAAGAAGTGAACCCGCGCCTTCCATTTTGCCTCTTTACGCTCACGGACTAGGCGCAGCGAGGGGATGTACATAGCCCGGGGCGGGACGACTAGAGGCTACGTGCTGCCGCAGTTTGTTTTAACTACGTTTTTTGCCGTTGCTGTGGGCTCTTCTCTGTGTGCCGGATCCCGGCGCCCCTCCCCCCGCTGCACGCCTTCTTCCTTGCTCCTTCTCCTTCCCTCTTCTTTGGGGGGTTGCCGCTTGCCCTTTCGTGGGGCGTGGGTAGGTTGACCTTGTTTTTGTTTTCGTTTTCTTTTGCGCGAGGCGTCCTGCCAAGTTCCGGCCGTAACTTTGCCCATCCACCACCACCAACAGGCTAACCGACAACAGCAGCAACATGTTTCGACGCACGCTGGCGGCGCTGCGTGTCAGCCCCTACTCCCTCTTCCTCAAGGAACTGTCGAAGAAGAAGGAGCTGTCGGGGCTGCCGCTGAAGGACGCGTCGACTATCGCTGCCCGCATGTACCACGCCCTCCCGCCCCAGAAGATGAAGGCGCTGAAGGCGCGTGCCGCGAGGAAGAGTTACCCCGCACTCGATTCCTTCAACCGCCTCCAACGGCAGCAGGCGTTTCGCTTCACGCACCTCAGCAATTTGCAGCGCCAGCGCATCATTGGGAGGATGTGGAGAGAACTGAAGAAAAAAGAAGTGCTGGCGAAGATGGGAACGCGAAAGGCCCTCAAGGCGGTTACAAGGGCAACCAAGCGAAAGGAGGCGGCCGTGGCAGCGGCTGCAAAGAAGAAGGCGAAGGCGCTGCTGAAGCGCAGGGCGGCTCTGAAGCGCAAGGCGGCTCTGAAGCGCAAGGCGGCTCTGAAGCGCAAGGCGGCTCTGAAGCGCAAGACGGCTCTGAAGCGCAAGGCGGCCCTGAAGCGCAAGGCGGCTCTGAAGCGCAAGGCGGCCCTGAAGCGCAAGGCGGCTCTGAAGCCCAAGGCGGCTCTGAGGCGCAAGAGCACACTGAGGCGCAAGAGCACACTGAGGCGCAAGGCGGCAGAACAGGCCACAGTGGCATAGATGAGGCTCCGCCGATGAATAGAAACACACAAGAAAGCAAACACTGCAAGAAAATGAGATGTTTCGAATAGAACAAGTGGAGTCGTCTTTTTTCTCCTTGGATGTGGGGCTTGGTGTCATCCTCCCCATGTCTACCTGTACCTTTTCTTCCCTTTCCGTTCTTCGTTTTCTTTTTGTTTTCTTTTCCTTTCGTGTTTTTGGTTCGTTGCTCCGTTCCACCCACCCGCTTG